ATGATGCGGCGACCACCGAGATCTACACAAGAGGAGGAAGAGGAAGGCGTCACGGGCATCCTCCCGCCCTGTGCTAGGGCATCGCCCTGCTGTGGCCAGGGCCACTCCAGCCCACCTACCTTCTCGCCCTCGGGTCCTGGCACACCACGGTCTCCCTGCAGAGTGAAGCAGAGGTTTCAGGGAGCCTTCCATGCTCTACAGTAAACCGAATCCCATCTGAGACTGCTGGGCTTTGGCAGTGACCCATGGGCACAGCCACTCCGGTGCCATCTCACCTTCTCACCCGTCTCTCCCAGCTCGCCTGGTGCCCCACGGTCTCCCTGGCATGGGGGGAAGGCAGGGTCAGGGCCAGCAGGACCCGCGGGGGACAGCATGGGTCCCGGTATGGCACGCAGACTCCTTTTGTCCTTGCCAAAGGCAAGGCATTCCTTGGGTCCCTGCACCACTCACCTTCCGGCCCTGCTCCCCCGGTGGTCCCCGAGGGCCCTGCAAAGCAGGATGAAGAAGTTGTCACCTCCAGCATGGCAAGGAAAATGCCCAGGCTGTCTGGAATGGGAGACCTCTGGGGTGCCCCCAGGGCTCAGCTTGCCGGCAAGGCCAGCTCCTCCCTGCCTCACCTGCTCTCGGGAAACTCACCCTGTCGCCTGGGTCTCCGGCACGGCCGGGCGGCCCTGGAAAACCTTCTTTGCCATCACCCTGGGGATCAAGATGACATGAGATGGGGTTGTCCATGTGACGAGGATGGGCATCCTGGATGAAGAGTGGTGTGGGGTCCAGCCCCACTGCGGAGCATCCCCACCACCCTCTTACCTTCTCTCCCTTCAAGCCAGGGGGCCCGGCAGGTCCCCGGGGCCCAGGGTCCCCAGGCAGGCCCTGCAAGAGAGGACAGCTCAGCCCCAGGGACACATGGCCACCACGGTTCTGTTCCCCTCTGCCATCCCCGCTGGCCTAGGGGCCAAACTCACCGGGGTTCCGGGCTCCCCACGAGGCACTGCCCCATCCACAAGTCCAGGAGGGCCCTGCAGAGACAGGGGTCAGTTCCTGCGTGATGGCCCCAGGGGCCTCAGTCCTTCCCAGCAGCCTGGGCGGCTGCAGTGCCCTCAGGCACCCAAGGGACCTCCTTCCAGGAGGGCAGAGGAGTCAGGGAAATGTGGAGCCACTCACCCTTTCCCCTCGGTCACCCTTCTCCCCCTGCAAGGGCAAAAAAAAAGCAAGTAAGAGCAGGTCTGAGCTCTTCCCATGCCTGCCTGGAATGGAAGGGGCATGTGCTGGACAGAGCCCATCATCAGTGGTATCTGGGCATGTGCATGTCTTGTGCCTCTCCCCACACTGCCCCACGCCAGCAACAGCCCATGTGTGCACGGGCACAGCCGGCGTGGGGCACAGCCCATGAGCCGGACCAGGAGGACAGCATGTGGGGGCAGCTTCAGGCTGCTGACTGTTCCTCTGCCTGTCTGTCCACACGCCCCCCCAGCTGTCCCGTGCAACACTGGGAATGCAGTACCTTCACAAACTCTCCTGGAGGTCCTGGTGGCCCCATGGGTCCAAGCAGACCAGGGGGGCCTGGATCACCAAAGGGCCCCCGTGGGCCGGGGCTCCCAGCGGGGCCAGGGCTGCCCTGGAGGAGAGAGATGCTGTTAGCTGGGGCTGCGGCATGGGCTGGGCATGCTGGCAGAGACCCCTTGGCATCACCACCCCCGTACTTACCGGCATGCCCGGCTCCCCTTTCTGGCCTGGCCGCCTTTGTCCTCCATCCACAATCACCCTGGGCTCTCCCTGAACGAGGAGAGGGAGGAAAAAATCAGTGTCCCCTTTTGCTCTGTTGTGTCCCCACTGCAGGATGGGGGGCACAATGCCACCGTGAGGCCAGGGGCCCAGCAGGGAGACAGGGAGACCCTGGGGTCACCCAGACTCCGAGTGCCAGCAGGTGCCAGGGGCTGAGATGTGCCTGCCAGGGACCCTGCTGCTCCCCAGGCACCCTGTGCCCATCACCTACCGGCTCACCCTTCTCCCCCTTCGGGCCAGAAAGCCCCATCGGCCCCCGCGGCCCCTGGGAAGGAAAGACAAGAATGAGAAGGAGGTGCAAGG